TGAGTCTTGTTTAAATTGTTTAAATTTTGGCGCCGTTGCCGGAGATTACCGTTTCCTCCTGCCTCATCTGTACTCCAGATATCTGGTATCTTCTTTGGGGGTACATCAATGGTTGAAGATGAGTACTTGAGAGCTGGGTTGGATAAGCAATCAGGGAAGGGATTCCAGGCAGTTGGCTCCAAACGGAAAGCTTGATTCCAAGTGCCGACTGATCTCTCTCTCTCTCTCTTTGTTTTTCAGGGAAGAAGAAAACTGAGCATGTTGAGAGGTTTGGTTGCAGCTACATTCTTAGCCGAGAAGAAGAGTCATGCATTTTTGGATGTATGCATTGCCATGAATGTTGACATGTATAGGAATTTTAATGGTCGTTGGGATAATGATCTCCACGCGTTTTCAACTTTGTCAGAGATCTTTGACAAAGTTGCACGCGTTATCTGAAAAGCCGAGATTTTATCTGAAAAGTCGAGATTGTGTCTGAAGAGTGTTGACGAACTTTACGCAGGAAAATCCGGTTTTTAAGATTTGAAGAGTGATGGCGAACTTTACGCAGGAAAATCCGGCTTTTAAGATTTGAAGAGTGGTGTCCCTTCAATTTTTTTGAATCGGTGGTTGTGTCGCCTCTCCTTTTATATAGGTATCGATCACCTCCAACATGCACACCTTGAAGATTGCCCATTCTTGAAAATCATCTCCGGTGTATTTTATCTTAACGGCCCTTTGAGATTTTACTTCATCCAACCCTTCTCTTTTAACACCTTTGAAAATGGCTAACCCATCTAACATTTGCTTAGATTTGAGTCTCAGCAGTGATACGGGTGCGCCGCGTCAGGGTAATGTATGGTGCCCGTCTTTCTTATCTTCTAATGGCCCTCTTACAGGTGAAGACTCTGTGATGAAGGATGCAACAACAGCTACGATAGTAGCTAGGAACCTCATCACTCCTAGAGATAGTAGGCTGCTTTCAGGACGGTCCGATGAGTTGGCCGTTCAAGAGTCCCTAGCTCTCAGTGTTCAGTGTGCAAGCTCTGTGTCCAACATGGGCCAACGCCTACTTGCTCGATCCCGTCAAGTTGAATCATTGATGGTGGAGGTGGGAAATCTTAAACAAGAGATCAAACAGCTCAAGCACGAAAATAGAGGTTTGCACGTCCTTGCAAATAATTATTCGACGAGCATAAAGAGGAAGCTTGATCAGCTGCAAGAATCTGAAAGTCGAATTCAAAGTGACCGTCAAAGGCTTGCGGCTTTCTTCCAGATGCACCTTTTTCCTTCGTCATCTAGCGTTCAACCAAGTATTGAGGCCTCGAATGATCCATCTTCGATGCCTCCTGCTTCTGGAGTTTTGCCAAGTAGTGGGGCTTCACGTGAACAACCTTTGTGAAAGCTCCTTTTTTTTTTTTTTTTTTTGTACGCACTTGTAATTTCTAGGAGATCAATAGACATGCTTTATTTTATTCAGTGTATTGTGCTAAATACAAATAAAACATATATATCACCAAGATGTGTTATTTCCTTTCTTTCTTTTTTTTTTTTTTTTTTTTTTTTTACTTTTGCAAGTGATGCCGTGCACTTTCCTTCCCTTATTTTCTTCTTTGCAATAATTTTGTTGCCCTTTTGTTTTTTTTTTTTTTTTTTTTGGTGATTTTGATGATGATTTTGCCGTACACAGTTTATGCTCTTGCGGGCCAGGAGCGTTTGGTGCCTTTTGCAGTTTCAACTCGTGCAGGCAAGGAGGGTTTAGTGCCGTTTGCAGTTTCAGCTCGTGCAGGCAAGGAGCGTTTGGTTGTCACCTTTTAGGCTCGTGCGAACGAGGAGTTTGGTTGTCACCTTTTAGGCTCGTGCGAACGAGGAGCTTTTTGAATTTGTCAAACGATCTTAGAGAGGCATTCCTTGCAATCTTCATAGCAAGGAGTCTTGACTGAGTGATTGAAGAAGTCTTTGGGGAAAAAATCGCGCATCGTGATGGCAACGGACGATCTTTGTGTCATAATTTCATCATCCTCAACACTTTCATGTAGCTTTGAAGGTTGACGGTAGCTGCTTTGCCCCCTTTCCGATTGGTGAACTTGTGCAACCAATAGACACGACTTTCCTTCAGACATCCATAGTGCTGATGAAGAACCCTATTGGCCATTTTGGGGTGTCATCTTGTGCGCCTCAATAGCATGCTTTGGTGCCCCCAGCAAGGTCAGGTTGATGACCGACTCGCGCCTTTGATGCTGCTCTTGCTTGCTTAGTGGTATCAACTTTGCAGCGGCATGTTGAGGAGTGGTTGTGGCACCAATGGATGCTCCATTTGTGGCGGAAGTGCTCATGCTTCTTCCCTTGGTGGTTGCAAGAACGGCTTGTCCCTTGCTTGATGCCATTGATTTTGGAGGTGTTGTTTGGTTTTCTTGAACGGAGAAAAAGATGAGAGGTAGAGATTATCCCACCGGGCGTGCCAAATTTGTGAACACGAAAAATTCCTGAAAACAAGAGACAAGAATAACGCGTGCAAAATAATATTTTTGTTGTTTAATGATTTTGGGGTTACGATCTCTTTGTAATTTGATCCTCTGATTCTATCTCCGTAAGATGTAGATTTGTTGATCCAAGGGCCGTCGAGACTTGATCTTGGATGAACAGTTGTAAGTTTCTTCAAGGGCCTTCGTGGCTTTGATCTAGAAGGTTGATGGAAGTTTCTTCAAGGACCTTCAGGGCTTGATCTTGAATGTTGATGGATGAGCGGATCTTCAAGGGCTTTTGGGCTTAATCTTGAAGAACAATTGGATGTGTGGATTTGTTGAGGTTGTTGATCCAAAGGGCCGTTGGGGCTTGATCTTAGGATGAACGGATGATGACTTTCTTCAAGGGCCGTCGGGGCTTGATCTTGAATAATGGTTGTGTGGATTTCTTCAAGGGCTTTTGGGCTTGATCTTGAAGGTTGATGGATGAGCGGATCTTCAAGGGCTTTTGGGCTTAATCTTGAAGAACGATTGGATGTGAGGATTTGTTTATGCTGTTGATCCAAAGGGCCGTTGGGGCTTGATCTTAGGATGAACGATGAACACTTTCTTCAAGGGCCGTCAGGGCTTGATCTTGAGTTGGTGGAAGTTCTTCAAAGGCCGTCGGGGCTTGATCTTGAAGGAGAATTTGACGAAGAACGAAGAGTACTTTCTCCATTCTTCGGGATTCTTGGGAATTTGGGGGTTGGATGCTTGAGAGCTTTAGAGTTTCAAAACTTCAAGGATTTTGGATGTGTGGGGAGTATTCTTTTCCATTTTGGGAGTAGAGAAATGTATTTGTGAATTAGTCTTTGTTTGTGAATTGGTGTTGGTGTGTCTAGAGAAATGTATTTGTGAATTGGTGTTTGTGTGTTTGGGAATTGGTGTTGGTTTGTGAACTGGTTTTTGTTGTGAATTGGTCTTGGTTTGTGAATTGGTGTTTGTGTGTGTGTTCTCTTCCAATTTGGGAGTAGAGAAATGTATTTGTGAATTGGTCTTTGTTTGTGAATTGGTGTTGGTGTGTCTAGAGAAATGTATTTGTGAATTTGTGTTTATGTGTTTGGGAATTGGTGTTGGTTTGTGAATTGGTTTTTGTTGTGAATTGGTCTTGGTTTGTGAATTGGTGTTTGTGTGCTTCCAATTTGGGAGTAGAGAAATGTACTTGTGAATTGGTGTTTTTTCCTCTTGATGGAGAAGCCTATTTATAAGCTTTGAGAGTGAATCACCACCATCCATTTTTTTGGTGAAGTAAGTGGATGTTGTAGGTGAAGTAAATGGAAATGGTAGGGTGAAGTAAATGGAGTTGGTAAGGTGAAGTAAGTGTGTGAGGTTGGTGAAGTAAATGGAGTTGGTAGGGTGAAGTAAATGGAGTTGGTGGGTGAAGTAAATAGAGTTGGTAGGGTAAAGTAAATGGAGTTGGTAGGGTGAAGTAAGTGTGTGAGGTTGGTGAAGTAAATGGAGTTGGTAGGGTGAAGTAAATAGAGTTGGTGGGTGAAGTAAGTGGATGTTGTAGGTGAAGTAAATGGAGTTGGTAGGGTGAAGTAAGTGTGTGATGTTGGTGAAGTAAATGGAAGTTGATAGGTGAAATGAGTGTGTGATGTAGGTGAAATAAATAAATGTTGTAATTTTAATACCTTGGTTAACATTTATTTCACTGAAATTTCGATGTCTACATAATGATAATAATAATGTTGGATTTTTTTTTCCTGTTAAATGGAATGGCGATAATTTGATTTAGTAATTAGAATATCTAACACATTGTAGTAAAAAAGTTTAGAGCGCAGACAAAGCATTTAAAATTTATTGAAATACAATGTGAATTTGGTGGACTTACAAAGAATGTAATGACTCACAAAAGTATAAACATTTTGGAATGGAAATTATCAAAAATAAACAACAGAAAACGTTAAGTCATCCAATATTAAGATAGCTTTTTTTCTGTATTGTATGTACGTTGTAGTATTGGATTGGACTATTCAGCTAGTAAATAATGGATTCACCACATTTATAACTCAGGAAATGCAATCCACCATCAAACTTCTATTCATTAAATAGTGGACCCTATATCTTTTGCTAATGAATATTCAAAGTATTTGGCGATAAAATAATGAACAATGGAATAGATTAGTCATCAATTAATTATCAATTAAAAATAATATTCATTAAAAATGGGGTTTCTGCAACTCTAGATTTTGCAAATATTGATAAGTGCCGAAAGATAAGTGGTGGAGATATAAACAGAGGTTAATGGTCCAGCTCGGCAGATCAGTTTAGAGGTTAGTGTTTGTTAGCCTGTTAAGTATGTGCCGTGAGAGTTAAGCAAGGTGATTAGTTGTTGTTTAAGTTGGTAGCTCTCTCTCTTTCTCTCTGTTGATTAGTTAATTCATTCATACAATTACAAAGCAATTATTATATCATTCTCTCTTTAAAATTCCTCTTCTCTTCTGTTTACTCTACATTTCTCAAATATTTCAGCATAGTTAATAGCAATCGTCACACCATGTCAATAATAATTACCAAATTTTATAAGGAATTTCAAGAGCATTTGTTGATACTCCACAGCCGATAAGGCAAGCCAAGTTTGGGAAGGCTGGATTCTCACCTTCTCTGGGCGTGGTAATACACAGCAATCATCATGAGAGAGAGGGAGAAAGCGGGTATTAGTTGAGCGCATTTGAGTACTGTATAATGGTACAAAATCAATTACATACTTGGAATTAGATAAACATCTTCCAATGGTGCAAACTGCAACTTGAACGAATCCAGAATAAAATGAAAATAATTACCGAACATGGGAATAAACCATAGTTTCTCAAACGGTATATTCAACCTGCATACATACATTTCCAAGTAAATTCATACCCAACCCAAACTTCATACAGTATCATGAATTACGCAAAACACACATAACCATCTCGTCCCTTGCATCTGAAACCCTGTTTTTCTCCTAATTCATAACACAATGGCAACAATATACTCAAATTCTAACAACAAATTCTCCAAAAAGAAAAAAAAAAAAAGAAATCAGAAGAAGGTAAATTAATTTACCTGAAAGTTCAAATCTTTTGGGGTTTTGGGTTCAGTATAAATACCAGAGAGACGAAACCCAAAAGAAAAATTACTCCCATTTTTTTCAAAATCCCAACAGCTCCGATCATTACAGAAGGCTCCAATCTGCGAAATACAGTGAAATTTTCGAAAACGCCAGTATTGGGGAAGATGAAGGAGCTCTTGAATTCAAATCTCACTCGTCAATCGTTGGAGAAATGGATGAGCTGCGAGAGAGAGCTCGAGAAGATGGAGCAAAGGCTGAGAGAATCAGGACAGGAAACAGGCCAAATTAGCATAAAATTATGGGGAAAATTAAAAAATAATGACTTGCCTGGTAAAACAAAAGGTTTTAGGAGGTCGTGGATACCCTACCAAATTTGATGTGGGTGTTGGAAGAGAGAATCTGACTGTGATTGGTCAGATCAGAGGACGAAGAAGAGAGGAACCTTTGAGAGAGAGAGCTGGCTTCGGCTTTTGCATCCTCCTTCCCATTACGCGATGATCAACACGTACACAACACCGGTAAAATTGTCATTTCACTGTGCAATACAGAAGATTAAGCTGTTGCTAAATTTGTGTCTAAAAAAATTATTATTTTTTATGCATTTAAAATATAATAATTTATCCTATTATTAAAAAAATAAAAAAAACAAACCCATCTTCTTCCCCGACCCCTTTCCCTTCCCTGCAACCCAAACCCCTATCCCATGATGCGAGAATTATACGCACACAAATTAACCCTCTTTTTGACAATTGTAGTATAGATATGTAAGTAGGGATCGTTCTAGACCGGGGATTAGGAGGGCTTGCTAAAACCTCTAAATTGACTCAAAAACATAAAAACAAGGTTAAAAACGTTCACAAAGACTCAAAGGACTCAAAACAGGTTCAAAAGACTCAAAACTGCCTAAAAACACTGACTAGGCAGTTTCTGACCTTAAACACAAATTTGGACGAATTTAAGATTATAGGTTAATTCAAAACACTCTAAAACACAAATTAAGACACTTTAACACTAAACTAGACTCAAAGAATGCAAAACTAAACACTTAAAACACTAAAACAAGCCAAAAGACTCAAACAGCACCCAAAACACTCAAAACTGCCTTAAAAACACTTTCTGGGCAGTTTTGAGCACTTTGACTACTTTGGACGAAATTGGGTGATAAAATGAAACAAAACACTTATAAACACAAACTAAAACACTTTCTAACTAATTTGGACATTAAAGTAAGGGGGGGTTGAGTTTGGACGAAATTAAACTAATTGCACAGATTCTAATTAAAAACAGAATGTAAATATGAATGTGATGGATTTGAATGGATGGGATGAAAAGCTAGCTAAGGGGTTCATCTCCACATATGTTATACTTGCATAATAAAACGATTTCCAATTGCATTTCAATAAATTATTAAACTCATCACCCCGGGTTAATTAGGTCCGCTTAAATTAACCTTCAAATCTTCCTAACGTTATTGAATTGGATGATTGCATACGACAACCCAAAACATTTCCCACAAGTCCCCTACATGATTGCATAATAGAGATACAAGCAAGAATCATTACGCTCTATGAAAATTATAAGTGTTGACGAGGCATTCGTTACTATGATTGCATGAAACTTATGCCAAGAATTCGTTTAACGCGATTGTTTAAAAGCAACCTCCACTACTTGTGAATATAAGTTCGTAACTATTAGGTGAAACTCACTTATATTCTAGCGTCATATTCATGCATGAAAATTAAGTGTGCACTCTCAATAAACATACATAAATAAGTTATCAATCAAATAGTTAAACAAATTGAATCCACAACTTATGAAACGCAATTAGAAGTAATCAAATCAAAATGCAAGCATAAACATATATTTCGAATCCCCCCCTAGCCAAAGGGGGGTTTAGTTCCTCATACGTACAAAACAAAGAGAATTGAAATTAAACATTGTAATCGAGGAAAACAAACACCTAAACATTCCAACAACTCAAACTTGAATTGTATGAACGTTTAGGCACTCTTCTCCTCCTCTTCGTTGTAGCACAAGGTCTAAGGATAGTTTGATGGTGTGGATGTGTGTTTGAATGAATGAATTTCTGAAATGGAAGAATGTATGAGAATGAATGGGAATGAATGAATTGTGGCTGCAATGGATGCTTATTTATAGGTGAAAATGAGGGAATATGACAGCTAGGAACTTGGTGGAAATCTGAAATGGTGATGGGAGATGCATGTGGCTGATTTATGCATGTGATTAAAGGGTAATGACATCTAGGTTATGATGATGAATGCATGTGCAAAGTTGGATGAATGATTATGGGTGCATGTGGCTGATTTATGGTGCAATGATGAAAGGCAAAGTGCATGTGGCTGATTTGTGAAGGGAATGCATGTGGAATGAATGTGTGAATGATGGCAGATTGTGTATGTGAATGATTAGGGTGAATGTGCATGTGCTTTGACAGCTAGGTTGAATAAATTAAAGGGAGTGCATGTGGCTTGGCTGGAATGATTGGAATGCAATCTGAAATGGGATGTGTTGGTGTGAATTTCTGGTACAAAGGGCCTCCTTTGGTCTTCAATTTCGTCCATCTACTTGGCTTCAAGTATATCCAATCCATTTAACGCCCCAAACTACTCCAAAATGCACCAAAATGCACCATTTTGCATACTTTGCCCTTAGAACCTGAAAACACACAAAAGAAGCATAAAGGACTAAAATAACTAAAGAAACATAACGTAAATGCACGAGAACAAGCCATTTAAGTCGCATGAATATGCTCCTATCAAATACCCCCACACTTATCTTTTGCTAGTCCTCGAGCAAAACAGAAAGAAAAACAAAACAAAACGAAACGAAACAAAACAAGTAAAACACAACCTAAACCTTCCAACAATCGTCTTAGGGATTTTCAATGCACATGACATGTTAAAAATCATCATTCTCACAGATTTTAGTCGTCTTCACACTTAAGTACATTCTTAATCATAGTCACCACATACTATTTCACAATTAAGCATTTAAAACCATGTTTTGAATGTAGTAACATGCCTTAGAGAATTTGCTCAATTCCTTACAAGATATGCACTCGATTTTCACTCAGATTTTCTAACTACACACCCTAATCTAGTCATTTGTGAGAAGATTAATGAAAACGAACACTCACATATATATATCACAAAGAGAGCAATTTCTGGAGTTAATAAGCATGTTTAGATATGATCTCATGAATGGAATGCTACTACTTAGACGCGAGAACCAGTGACTCCATAAGCTCATATCAATTCCAAACTCCACATTTTGAAACACATAACACTCAAGATAGAAGTCAAAGGGTTGTAACGGGGCTAGGGTATTGGCTAACAATGAAAGATAAACAAACATTCTTAAAGCAATAGTGAGCAAAGTATTGAATTAGGCACTTAGAATTCCCTTAAGAACGCAGAAGTCAACTTTGAACACCCAAGGGAAAATCACACAAAACTTAGGGCCATATTCAACTTTTTAGACCCTTTCTTCAACCATCAACACTCGTGAGTTCATTCTTACTTATTTTCACTCTTTTTTTTTTTTTTTTTCTTCTTTTCTTTTTTTTTTTGAATCTCAAAACATACATATAAACGTAAGAACAAACTTTTACTCCCCCACACTCATTTTCTTGCATAATGTAACTCAAGAGGAATTCATTTAAGTCATGCTCACTATACTTTAAGAACAAGGGTATAGGAAAGTCCTACTCTAGGCTAGGTGAGGAAAATGTGGGTAAACAAAGAATAAAGGCTAAACAAGGCTCAACGGGGTTAAAACTTACAACATATATGAAATATGGGAAGTAAGGCTATTTGGCTATGGTGGTGGTTACACAACTTCATCTTGATATGTGTTATGCAATTCAATGTCATGCTTTGAATGAAACGGATATAAGTTCTAGCATTTAGTTCTATCATGATATAATTGCATTCTAAGTAGCAACCAAGCAAGGAATAATGAGATCATGCAACAACTTTAGAAAACAAAGAATCACAGATTATAACTCTCCAAAGAAGGTAATGGCTCGAGTCTCACAGGGTTGTAGCGTTTGTTTGAGTTCCTTCCTTCAAGCATGTTACAAAAACGAATTTTTCTTTTATGATTGCATGTGAAGTCATACATTATAACCATAACCAAGCATATACCAAGAGTAAATCAAACTTTTCTCTATGTTTATAACTCTTTTTAACAGTCATGCAATTACAAACCAAATCCTTATCATTGTGTTGGAAGGTATCCTAAGACACAAACACACAAAAACGACTTAAAACACTCTTTTTAGGCTTTTCAAAACATGTTTTTCAAATTTTTATGTGATTTTCGGAGTTATAAAACAAAACATACTAAAACACTCTAAAACATCTTAAAAACACCTTAAAACAGCAAGGAACAACATTTGAAGTTATGGGTGATAAAATCCCACGAATTTGCATCAAATATACTTAGTTACCCCCCCACACTTAAATCAAACATTGTCCTCAATGTTTTAAGCATAGATTCACACAAAACATAAGTAAACACACAAAAAGCAACTAAACATACTAAACATGGCAGAATGTAGTTAACAAAGAGAAGAGTTTAGAGACGCAAATCTGGTTATAGAGTGTAAATTCCATCTTCTCCTTGGTAATTGCATTGAGGCTTGGATCTTTGTGATTCCACAGGCTTACTCTTGAACTGCGCTGCTCCCATCGTTGATTTTCCTTTGTGCTACTCTTGAACTGGGCAGCAGGCTTCCTTTGGTCTCCCCCGAAGGTCTGAGCTTCCTCTTTTTTTTCTGTTTCTTTGTTCAATCTCTCCAATTCGTATTGAAGAGGGTTAGAGGATAGCTCAGCATACGCAGTTGTAGCTTGTCTCCACATGCTTCAATGTATCATTTTCACTTGCCTTACTTGCTCCCCTTTGCAGAAGTGGTCCCTTCTCTGGAAGTGTATCAACCGTTGAAGATGACTACTCGAGAGCAACGCTAGGTAAGCAATCAGGGAAGGGATTCCAGGCAGTTGGTTCCAAATTGGAAGACTGACTCCAAGTGCCGGCTGATTGCTTCTTTCACTTTGCCATGCGAGTAAGAACAAGGACGAAGAAAAGGACAGGGAAAGAGCATGATATGAGATACTTTTGCTTTTGACCTTGATGATATGAGATACCTTTGCTTTTGAAGAAGCGGTGAATGAATCAGCACATGCTTCCATCTACCGTTTCCTCCTGGGTCATCTGTACTCCAGGCATCTGGTATCATCTTTGGGGAAGAAGAAAAAATTGAGTATTTCGAAAGGCTTTGCTGGGAGTGCGCCCTCAAAAGTGAGGAAGAGTTGGGCATTTTCTTCAGGTTTGCCTTGCCATAAAAGATGAAGGTCGACATATATAGGGATTTCCCAATAGCAAGTGGTGGTATTGTTCTTTTACCCTTGTCAACAAACGTTTTGATCCCGCAAATCCGGCTTTTTGAAATAGTGACGCCTCTTCGATTTCTGAACGACGCCTCTTCGATTTCTGAGCAGGCGCCCCTTCGATTTCTGAGCGACGCCCCTTCGCTTTCTGAACGACACGTAGTAGTGCGGATGCGGCTCTTTTGACAAAGCTGCATGCGTTTTCTGAAAAGTAGAGAAAGCGTCGTCGAACTTTGCGTTTGTCGGC